AGAAGAGCATATTTCACATTTAAAGATTGTTATACAGATTTTGAGAGAAAAAAAGCTTTATACTAAACTCTCCAAATGTGAATTCTGGTTGAAGGAAGTGACGTTCCTTGGACATGTAATTTCTATAGAAGGAATTCGAGTGGATTCCCAAAAGATTAAAGCTATTTTAGAATGGGAAGTTTCAAAGAATGTGTCAGAAGTCCAGAGTTTTCTGGGTTAGCTGGATATTACCGAAGGTTCGTTAAAAACTTTTTGATAATAGCATTACCCTTAACTAAATTATTGAGGAATGAGATAAAATTTTTGTGGACTCCGGAGTGCCAAGAGAGTTTTGAAAGGTTAAAGAATATTTTGACAGAAGCTCCAGTGTTGGTTCAACCAGAGTCTGGCAAGAACTTTGTAGTGTATAGTGATGCGTCTCATAATGGCTTGGGATACGTGTTAATGCAAGAAGGTAAAGTGGTGGCTTATGCATCAAGACAGTTAAAACCGCACGAAAAGAACTATGTAACGCACGATTTGGAGATGGCTGCAGTAGTGTTCGCTCTTAAGATATGGTGTCACTACTTGTATGGTGAACGATGCTACTTGTATACAGACCATAAGAGTTTGAAATATTTGATGACTCAGAAGGAGTTAAATTTAAGACAGAGGAGATTGGTGGAATTCCTAAAAGATTACGATGTAGTGATCGATTTTCATTCGGGGAAAGCAAATATGGTAGCAGACGCTTTAAGTTGGAAGACGTTTGCAGTCTTACGAGCTATGGATGCTAGACTATCGTTAAGAGGAGACGGTGCTATATGTGCGGAATTGACTCTCAAGCCATCATGGCTAGATCGAATTAAAAAATTGCAAGCTAGAGATGAAAAGTGTTCAAAGAAGCTACAACATATAAGAAATGGAGACGTTACAGATTATGAAATAAAGGCTTATGGGAACCTCTATTATCAAGGAAGGCTAGTGATTCCAGATGATGATGAGTTGAAGAAAGACTTGTTAATGGAAGCTCATTGTAGTCCATTGACCATGCATTCGAGAGGAAACAAAATGTATATAGATCTCAAGAGTCGATATTGGTGGCCTGGAATAAAGAGGGGCATTACAGAATTTGTATCCAAATGTTTGACGTGTCAGCAAGTCAAAACTGAGCATCAAGTTCCGTCAGGACTATTGCAACCTATGTTTATTCCTCAGTGGAAATGGGAGAATGTAATAATGGATTTTGTAACGGGGTTACCTTTAACTCCGAACAAAAGAGATTCAATCTGGGTGATCTTAGATAGATTGACTAAGTCAACTCATTTTATTCCTGTACGGACTGATTTCTCCATGGATAAATATACTGAGTTATATATAAGGGAGATCATTAGATTATATGGAGTGCCTGTTTCCATAGTTTCTGATTGGGACCCTCGATTTACTTCGAGATTTTGGAAGACCTTGCATGGGGCATTAGGCACTCGACTGAATTTTAGTACATCATTCCATCATCAGACAGATGGAAAATCTGAGCAAACTATCCAAATTTTGGAGGATACGCTGAGAGCATGTGTTATAGAATTCAAAGGATCGTGGGAGAAATACTTGTCACTTGCTGAATTCGCGTACAATAATAGTTATCAATCAATCATTAAAATGGCTCCCTATGAAGCTCTTTATGGAAGAAGATGTTGTACACCCCTAAATTGATTCGAGCTTAAAGATAAAGAAATTCTTGGTCCTGAGTTGATCCAGGAAGTGGAAGAAAAGGTCCAAGTAATTCAAGGTAATCTCAAAGCAGCAGCTGATAGAAAGAAATCATACTCGGATCAAAAGAGAAAAAAGATAGAATATCAAATTGGAGATAAAGTGTTTCTCAAAGTTTCTTATTGGAAAAAGGTGTTGAGGTTTGGTCGAAGAGGAAGTCCTCAGTTCATTGGACCTTATGAGATCGTAAAGAGAGTTGGACCAGTGACATATCAATTAACGTTGCCACATGAAATGGAGAAAATTCATGATGTCTTTCATGTTTCAATGCTTCGGAAGTATCGATCTGATCCTTCCCACATTGTGACTACAGAAGAAATCGAGATTCAACCAGATTTGACGTATGAAGAAGAACCAGTTCAAATCTTAGCTCATGAGATTAAGCAACTAAGGAACAAGACTATTCCCTTAATTAAAGTCTTGTGGAGGAATCACAAGATAGAGGAAGCAACGTGGGAACGTGAAGAATACATGAGGAATTAATACCCCCATCTCTTTGCACAATGAAAATTCGAGGACGAATTTTCTTAAGGGGATATTTGTAACATCCTCAATACCGGGTTAGTGACTAAATTGTAAAATTACAGAAGTTGGTGATTTAAGTATAATAGTTGATTAGTTTAAAGACTTATATGAAAAATATTGTGTATGATCAAATTGAAAAGAATGAGGAATAAAAGGATAAAATGGTCATTTTGCAAGGAAAATAATTAAATTTGGTTAGATATATATAGAGGCCACGTGTATGAGAGGAAGCAAATATCCAAACTTCCAGACAACTCTTCTCCTCTTTTCTTCTTTGTGCATATGAGCCAAGGTAAATGTAAGAATTCTTATTAGTTGATTATTAGTTGAGATTTAAGTTTGATTTTGATCATTAGATGCTAATTAAGCTTAGGGAAAGCTTAATTTATCTTAAAAAACAACATGAAGAGTTGTAAGAAGAATTAAAGGTTAGAAGTTCTTGAATGAAATTTTGAAATAAAGTTCATAATGAGAATTGGAAGTTGAATTTGACTTGTCACCAACTTGATTAAGGAATATGAAATGTTAGAATTAGCTTTAGAACATGTTGGAATTTGAGTGAGATTCTTGAATTTTATGTGGATGATTGAATTTTCAAGTTTAAGAGATATTGAATGGGTATAAATTAGTTTAAGTAGGTGTATGCAAGTTAGGGATATTAAAGGAGGTGAAAGATGAAGAGTTGAGATGACAAGAGAGTGAATTTCGTGCTTAAAATGGAATTTTTGGGTTATATGCATCGATGCATCTTCAATGTGTATCGATGCACTCTTAAATAAATGAACATCGAATGCAATTAATGCATAGATGCATGAGGAGTGCATCGATGCACCCCCTTAAGATTAAAACATCGAAGGTGATTTGTGTACCGATGCACAGGTAGTGCATCGATGCACACGTTAAGGAATGCATCGATACACTGTAGAGTGCATCGATGCATACCTTCATTAAAAGATGAAAATAACTTTCTTTTTTAGCCTAAGGAGTGATAGTTTAGAATATATCAATTAGTATACTGATATGTATCAATGTATTACTATGTAGATATAGAACGTAATATTGTTTAGGAATAATCGAAGGATTAGAATAGAGTCAAAGCAAGGCAAAGGTGAGTGCATATCTTATATGAAATTGTATTGAGATAAGACTTGCGATGAGTCTATCTCTTATAGTTAAACTTATGATTTCACATTCATGTACATGCATATTTATATATGTATTAATGCTATAGTGCTTTCATGCGTAATTCATTAATCCTTTAATATGAACTTATTTGAATGAATGTAATTATATGAGAATCCATTCAAGTATGGGAAATAATGAAAATGATCATGTGTACTCATATGAAGTGAATTATGTGTTTATGTGAAAAGTGATAGAAGAGATATGAAAATGAGAATTGTATTATAATTAAGCCCATGTTACTTAATGTGAGGGCTGTAGGTATAATTGGCATGCCAAGAGTCGAGGGATTATCAGTGGTCATTCGGGACAAATATTCAATGCCCCTAGTGGGATTTTATTCGAGCTATGGTGACAACATGGTGCACAACCTCAGTGTACTCGCATACATTCTGTTCTCAATAACGTTCATGGGCGATCCAAAAATAAATTAAAGTGAAACTAGCATAAGAATACAAGTTTTATATATGTGCATGTTATCATCATATATGTTATAGTGTAATAGGTACATGCAAGTTGAAATGTCATGATCAATGGTAAGAATGCATGTTCATGAATTCATTGTTATATATGTATATACATATATTTATGTTATGCCTCACTAAGTCTGTAACTTAGCGTGTAAGTGATTTACACGTAGGTACCAAGAATCGGGAAGAACAGAAATAGGAGTGGCAAGAATAGTAGCACTGCTAGAAGATCATATCAGAAGTAACTAATAAAGTATGTATGTTGATTTCGTATAGTATGTTGGCATGTAAGGAAATGTGTTAGTTATTAATTAATGCTCTGGTCGATTTTGTTTATTTTGGTCAACTTATGTAAATACACTACTTTATTTTTAATGACAGTTTTGAATTTCCTTGAATTCTGTCAAGAGTCAAAGTTTAAAAAGTTAATGTGACACCTCATACTCGTATTCGGGTCGGGTACAGATTGGGGGTGTTACAAAGGCCTTTCGCCAAGGTATTCTTAGTCTTTCCTTTACCTTTACATTATTTATCTTAATTTTCGGAATGATATCATCCTCATTCTCCATCTCTTCCTCTGATTCATAATCGTCTTCTTCAATTGTTTTCGAGCTATTGAATATTCTGGTAAAGGTTGGGGAACTGCTATTGTATCTTTCCAGAATTTCATTTATGTTCTTTCTTCTGTTAAGTCTTCCCCTTCTGAATTTCGGATACGTTTATTTCCCTTGCCTGCTATTTCGACTATTTCCCCCTTGAGTCATCTACGTGGCTGGTGGGTTTGCTTCTTGAATGAGCGTCTAGACGATAACAAAACAAAAAAGTTATGGGGTAGAAAAATTTCAAAAAACAATGATTTCTAAAAGATCACATTTTAAATTTGCGTTATGTTTACTTGTAATTGCAATTATATTTTAATGAAGTCTATGGAGGGGCATTTACCCATTACATACTCTATTTTCTTTAGTTATGCTAAACGGTGCGTTTTGCTTCATCATACACAAACATAAGTTTGGGATGTAAGCCGGCCTATTATTTTACATACAAATGAAGTACCAAAGGGTTCGCTTCCCATTGAACTCTCAAAAATCAAAATTCGAAAGCAACCCCCAGGGCTTTCGCCGATCTACAAGCTGGAGGGAATCACTCTTGTAAAAAAAAAAAACCATCTTTACATTTAATACAAATTTGGGGCTAGGGTTTTTTCATTTTAATCTTTGTTTTCACCCTCACTCTAGCTAGAATTTTTTTTTAAATTGAAAAAAAATTGAAAAGTCCTCAAGAAGGCAGATCTTTCGAAGTCTCCCGGCTCTGCTTTTTTCCTAGTGATTTTTAAAGATAATTGTTAGGGTTTGGGTTTTATTAGATAGAAATGTATGCTGATCGAGTGGAGGAGGGTGCTGGGAAAAGGTCGGTAAAGGAGCGACTCAATGGCAACTCCTCTAATAGCTTTAATCCGCGGCGTCAAATCACTGGCAAGAGGTTTGCTTCTATTTTTTTTCTGTTTGTTTTGACCGGTGATAATAACTGGAAAAAATAACTGGATTTCTTTGCATTAATAAGAATTGTCCGTTTTTACTTATTGACTTTAGTGGAATGCAGTAATTTACCTTTCTAGTTTAGTGAATGGTCTTTTGGGATGATGAATAAGCTTCGTTGCTAGATTTGCCTTGGGTATTTGAGTTTAATATGATGTGAAAGATTTGAAACGGAGTTCATGAGCACATCGGAGTGTACACAATTTGAAGGAATGGCTATTTAACTAAATTCGCAAAATTCAGGAGTTAGATTTGTCTTGTTGAGTTCTTAAACCTGTATTAAAGTATATGATGCATTGAACATAGGTCGTGGGTAATTTAGGATCTGGGAAGGGGGATTCGAGAATTTAGCTTTCAACGTATGTAGGACGCTCGGCATTATGATTTATTTCTTCATCTTTTTTTCATGGAGTATCGAGCCTTTTACATTCAATGCTGAATAGGCTATATACTTGTTTGCCCTGGTGTGAAGATAGAAAATGAGAGAGCTAGCCAGTATACAGATTTGGTTTTTATCTTTTTGACCCTATACAATTTTCTTATGTTTGCTTGCTGACTGTGAGCTTTGGTGTACGTGGTTTAACTTGTGCTTGTTTCATTTTCACTTTGTGTGTTAATCATCCTAATCTGTAAGCATCTTTATGCCTTATCTTGCAGACAGAGGCAAGATGACAAGTGGGAACATGATCTTTACCAAGATGTACCTAATATTTCGAGTATGGATTCCCTGACACAATCACATGCAAATAAATATTGTTGCTATACTTGGATGCATCTAAATCATTTAAATTTCATTTTGACTGTGTTAATGGTTTGTGAAGATCATAAAGTTGATGCCCAAGATCTTCGTTCGAAGCTGCAAAGGAAAAATCTCCAAATTGTGTCTCAAAGCAGAAGGGGAACTCTCTCAGGTGTACATGATCTTCGTGAAAAATTATCAGGAACAATGACTACACAGCCAATAAATGCTGATCCACAGACACAGAAAGTAAAAGTTGCCCAACCAGCCAGGAAAAGTTTAGCAGTTGAAACTCCTGAACCAGAGCCCAAAAGGGCTGCAAATACAACAGCAAGAAAGAAGGCTAAGCAGAATGTATTTAGCTTATGCTCTTTTTTCTTTTTAGCACCTTCCTTGCATTTTGTAGTTTTCTGTTTGTTGAACAAGCATGATACGTCAAAGCTTTGTTTTTGTCTGTACCATCTGCTAGAGTATGCATGTGTGGGCGGGTGGGGAAGGAGTTCAAAATCTTGCCATCTAATGGTATGCATATCCCATGGGCTTGATTTTAACGCATGATGAATCGAACCAAGTAATTGCCCCACAATGGCATGCATTTTGCCAGGTCTTGTTTACATTAATTTGGAACGCACAATGAAATCAACTAGGTTAAGTTCCACATTAACAAATTAATTGAAATTGGATTCTGCTTAGTGTTGTCAGCTTCAAAGTCTAATTAGTCGGACAACAAACAATGTTATGCCATATGATGCTTAAGAATATTTGTCAAGTTAGGGATTGTGTGGAATTTGGAAAAATAGGTCGATTAAAGTCTTTCTGGTTTTCTATTAAATGGAATGGTAAATGTCTCAATGTTTGCATAACTATACTTCTCTTTTGTTGTTTCCGAAATAAGAGGCGATCCTCCATTTTTGAGCTTATGATGATTCTGCAGTCTAAGCAGTGTTTTTTCATATGCAGGCTGATACATCAGTAGTGGCCTTCCTCCAGTCTTTGGGTCTCGAAAAATATAAAATCACTTTTCAAGCTGAGGAAGTATGAGTTTTCTACGTTCCTTTGTATATTGTACTCCCCCAACCCTAGGCCCCCCTTGCTCTTATTTTTTTCATCAGTATATGAATTAAACAAATATCTACATCTGTTATTAACCTCCTTCTGCAGGTTGATATGGCTGCACTTGTACACATGACTGATGAGGATCTAAAAGCTTTAGGCATACCAATGGTAACTTTAAATCATTTTATCCAATTTCTTAAATTTGAGATGCTCCAGATTTTATTTCTCTTCTAAAGCACCAAAGCATATCTTCTCAACTCTACAAGAATGTCCTTTTCTTTCATGACCTATAAAATCCCTTTATTTTGCGTGCTTTTCTTGAGTTCCTTATACGTGCATATGATCATTTTAAATTAACTGTTACATGCAAGTTAATGCTGGCCTCTTGAAAAGAAATTAGAATTTTTGGAATGTCCTGATAATTGGTGCTGAAGGGAGTTCTGAGAAATTCTTGTATATGACACTTTAGTTCCATCTGTAGTTCTATATAAATGCCTGTGCCTTTTGCTTGTGGTCTTTAAAGAACTTCCTTCGGCCAACAACCCTTCAATGTTCTGCTTTTTTCTGCAATACGCATGTATTGAAAGCATTTTTTATCTCTATGCTCAACTTGTTTTTCTCTTCCCTTTACTTGGTTTCAGTTGTCTTTTTGTTTGTACCTCCAGGGCCCAAGGAAGAAGATAATTCTCGAACTAGAGTCAAGGAGCTGATATTTGGAGTTTTAGCAACAAGTGGTTGTTGCCTGTTGAATCTAAAGATGTATTAATGGCCGATCCTAGGATATTGCAAGGCCATGTTTTGGCTGATAAGAACCTGCATATGTAGCTATTTTTTCTGGTATTTCATGTTCAAATTGATTAACAAAATATGCCTTAGTGAGCTTGTTATTGAAATCAAAGGGTGAAATATTGTTAGATTGGAAGTAATAGGTGGAATTTTTTTTAAGCCCAAATTAGCGTTTTGAAACTTTAAACCAACTAATTTTCTGTGCATTGTCTTGATTTATATCCTTGGAAGCTTTCTCAAATCTAAATCCTATTGCTCGAGATGAAAACCATGTGCTAACCTACTTTATCATACATGTTCTTGTTTTATTTTTCTCCGGCTACTAATTATATATTGAGATTATCAGGTTGAATTATGTAGTTTTCTTTTGCTCTGGGGATTGTGTTTAAAAAGAAAAGGATTGGCACAGGAATATTGCATTCCTATGATTCTATGATTAACTCGAAATTATTTCATCAATCCATAATCAGCATACATCCAAAACTTGGACTCATCAAAATAGTCTCGAATTCAGCAAATGTGATAAAATTTTCTATGGATACAAGCCTGCAAAACGTGTTAAGAAAATCATGTTTCGGATCCTTTGTCTCTTGAATTTCTCACGCGGCTGATAAGAGTCTTCCCTCTTGCCAGCTGAGGCCTTTGCTTGATGTCAGTCTTCGATACAGGGAAATACTTAAGATGCTGTGTTTGCTTTAGCCTTCCAAACTAGGTACTTGGCCTTCTCCTGTTTGTATCTTCTCAATTCTCTAAGCTGCTAGCACAATATGCATTGAAACCGGCAAGAAGAATGTCAGCAAAAGTAGAACAGCCACAGAGCTTGAGCCTTGTAATTCAAGTCCAATAAATCAATGCTACTTCTGGTGAACTCGTAGACAATTTGTTTCGACTAACAGAACTAGTTCACCAACCAGAATTTACAAGGAAGATAACTAAGACAGTGCTATGTTGTAAAGAAAAGGAACAGTAATCCACTGGAAAGCAAAATCTCAAAATACAAAGTAGTAAAAAACATGATTTTGAAAGAAGTTTCTCCTCAATTATTAGAGAGAGAGAGAGAGACTACTGTCATTTAACTAACCGAGTAGACAGCAATGCAGTGCTCGAAGGAATAGTAGCTAACAGACAAAATAGATGGGTGGAAAAAGGCATCCTCTGCCAGAGGCCTTGCTTGACTTGAGGTGGCTGACCAAAAAGGTGTAAATCATTTGTTAGGCAGCCTAGTTGATAAGAGATTTGGACAGCACAGATAATTAAGACAATTGAACAATAATCTACAGGTAAATTTAGGAAAATACTAGCTGAAGATTCATACACTCACTCCACTAGAAGCATTACTCAGTGCCAGCTTCGCTTCCTCAAGAGAAAGCTTTAACTTGTCGAAGACACCACCATAAATAGTTCAATCGTTTTTTTTTGCAAACAGTTAAAATGCAAGTACTCCGATAAATATACTTATAGTCCAACGTGGTATCTTACCTGTTTTCCTATCTCATCCATGATAATCATCCTTGGCAGTGATTGAACCTGCACTAAAATTTGTCATCAGTGGCAAAAAGTCTTATTGAATCAGATAGTCATTTTTAATACCAATGGACACGTGCCAATCTTGAAAGAGATCCAAGCGTTGTAGCACAAGAATGAAGACTAAAACATGTGTAATGCCGTGACAACACATTCAATTCCTTGGACAAGAATTGAAAGTAAGAAAACTCGAACATAAAATGAACAACTGATCAAGACAATACTATGCTTATTCTTTTAAGAAATATTTGATGGAATTTAAAGCTTGCTGATCAAACCACTACAAATTGAGTTCAGTTTGGACTAAACCATTACTTGCCGGGAACTAGAAAATATAACTATTAGGCATAGCTTGGTAGTTGCATTGGATTTTATCTTACCACTCAGTAAAACCTCTTTCACTAGGCAGAAGTTTCCAATCACCTGAGGCACCAGCATAAACATTGACAGATTTGAAACCAAAAAGTTGCCAACTACTGCCCAATGAATACTTCAAACATGTTCTAAAGATCCTGTTTAAGAACGTTCATGCATCAAAGTAGAGAAAGCTAATCGAACCATGTGTATGGAAGAGATAGAGAGAGACAGAGAAGAATAGGAGAAGGGACAGCAATTTTTAGTTGAATTACTCGTGCATCATCTAACCTGTATTGGAATTATGTTCTTGGCACTGGGCTCAAATTCTGAATCCTTTAAACAGCCTTGGGGATTCCAAACAATAACACCTCTCCACATCTAAAAGGTTTCATGAGAAGTAATAAGGTAATGCAGTCTCACAGAATAATTAGTAGTGAAAAGCATGAATATAATTAAGTCTTGATAACTAACTGGAGATAAAAAGCCATTTGTCTTAGAAATCTCTCCATTTGGTAGCTGGAGAAGAAGAGGGCATTCCTTTGCAGATGGTATATATCTGGTGACAGAGAAAAATGAACACCTTGAGAAAATGACTTGCAAACAAATAAAAAAAATGAGAGCTAACCAGAGAGGTTATTGAAAAAAAGCATATCAAAGTAGGCTGACACTCCTGAATCAACATTTTCTCCCAAAATGGACATCAAACCAAAAAAAGTACATTGACATGGATGGAACCACATAGTTATAGGCCGATACACCCTTACAACTCAATAAATGCAATCATTATTTACAGTTAAGAAATAAAGGAAGCATTGAGTAAAAGAATATACACAGCAAATTGCAATATCTTTGATCGCCCACCAGCTGCAAATGAAGTATCCAAATGCCATTCATTAGAATTTACCTGTTAAATACGTGAGCTCCATTACTTCCAATATCTGACATTTCTTGTGGCCAGAAAGCAATAATAGCAAAAACATACAATAATCCAAATAAAAGGCAGCAATCTTCTATCAATATATACAGAAACAGAAGCAGAAAATACTTAAAGACGCATACAAAGAAAGGAAGATCTTTGGTGCTAAAGACATAGCTCTCCAGCTTTTGATTCCAGTAAGAGAATGAGGCTTTTGGTGTATGGTACAAAACCTATGTATGAGAACATTAAAACCTCAATCAGAAGAAAACCAGAATACAAGATACAAATGAAATGAAGAATGACCCTCGACCTGACTCTCTACACTGATGTTTGCCACTGGTCCCAAAGCCTCAATCATAGGGGCCAACAAGGTATCAACTATCTTCTCAAAATCCCAGCAGACCAATAAAAGGAAACATCAGATGAGTAAAATGCACCACCACCACCATAACATTCTAACTATAACAAGTTTTGTTTAGAATTACATTATCAAACAGTTCTTCAACTAAAGATTTTCAATATAAACAAACAGAATCAAAACAAAATCAACAAACATTTGAAAATCGATTAAATTTGCAAGAAGGTGCAGCGGTTAAGAATCAAAATGCTTCATACCAATCATAAACCCAATCAAGTGGATCCACATTGAGCAAATTGAAGGAAAGAAAGATCTTCCCATCAGCTCCGACTGGCATAAACTCATTCCGAATTATTAGAAAGGAGATAAGAAAATTATTTAGTACTGGAATCACACATTCTTCATTCATCATAGCTTGCTTATATACACTGCTGTAACAAGCTCTTAACTGCCTCTTAACAGTCTAACAACCTACACAACCGCTCTAACAGCTTGGCTTAATAGCCTAACAGCTTAACTAACTACATCACCTTAGCTGGCCAAATACTAACACGTGTAAACCAGTTATATTAGTCTAACATTCCTCCTACTCTTTCCTGTCTTCTTTTGTTTTTGAATTAAAACTAGGTATTACACATATCTTGTTGCGAAACTCCTCGAACACAATTCTTGCCAGCGGTTTGGTGAAGCCATCAGCCACCTGATGAGCTGCTGGAACGTAGTTAACTCGAATTTGCCCGGCAGCTACCTTCTCACGCACAAAGTGCACATCCAAGTCTATATGCTTCGACTGCGCATGGTAAACAACATTGGCATTCATTTCCACTGCACCAGTATTGTCACACCACACCACTGGTTCTTGTGTCTGTTGCAAACCAAGATCAGCAAGCAGTGCGTTGACCCAGGTTACCTCAGCAGCCACATCAGCAAGTGATTTATATTCGGCTTCCATCGTTGACCTGGAGATAGACTTCTGCTTCTTGGAGCTCCATGCAACCAGGCTTGGACTAATGAACACTCCATAGTTAGAGATGGACCGCCTATCATCCACACTAGCTCCCCAATCCGCATCAGCAAATGCATTAACATTTAACCCTGTTTCAGTCGACTGGAACACGAGACCATAGTCCACAGTCCCAGCTAAATTACCTTAGTATTCTTTTAACAGCAGTCATATACGTTTCTCTTGGTGCATGCATGAATTGTGCCACTTTCCCAACACTGTAGGCCACATCTGGTCGCGTGTGACACAAATAGAGAAGAGAACCGACTATGCTTAGGTATTCAATAGGATTGATCAGCAATTCACCATCATCTGCTGAAAGTTTAGGGGATGCCACCATAGGTGTCGCACACGCAGCAGCTCCTCTCATTCCTTCCTTCTCAAGCAATTCTAACACAAACTTCCTTTGATTCAACAAAATTGAATCACGTGACCTTTGCACCTCAATACCCAAGAAAAACTTGAGCTGGCCAAGGTCCTTTAACGAAAACCTATCACCAAGAAGATGAACAACTTCTTGAATCGTATTGGAAGACTGCCAAGTGATGACTATGTCATCAACATATACCAATACATATAGATCACCATCATCCGTTTTACTAATGAACAACGAGGGGTCAGCTCTTGATGTTGTAAATCCAAGCTGAAGCAAGTTATTTCGAAGCTTAGTATGCCAATTTCGAGGGGCTTGTCTGAGACCATAGAGGGCCTTCTTAAGTTTGCAAACTAGTGGAGCACCATCTTCATCTGTTTGCTCGAACCCCGGTGGTTGTTGCATGAACACCACTTCATCTAGGTCCCCGTTGAGGAACGCGTTGTTCACATCTATATCTCTCATTTCCCAGTTATTCGCAACAACCACAAGCAACATAACATTAAAGGAGGCAAACTTCACAACCGCGCTAAACGTATCATTAAAGTCGTAACCTGGCACTTGGTCAAATCCCTTTGCAACCAGTCGTTCCTTATTAG